TACGAATTCCTTGCTATCCTTCAACAATGTTGCTGTAAGAGCTTTTTTGTTGATGAAAATCTTAACTTTATTACAGCTTTTAAACGTCATATATGACTTTATACTGCACTATATGAGCTAGTCTAGTGTTCTGAAAATCATCCATTCTTAATAAGAGCCACAATCAGCAGCTTTACAAATTACTTTCATTTTCTTCATAAATGATCCTTGTCCAATACTGGTAAAACACAAGTAACTTGCTGAATCTGTTTTGCTAATTTGCCACTTTCTTCCGAACAGCATATGAATATTTCTACCAGATGGGCACTGAAAATTTATCAGCTATGTTGAATATTTTTATCCAAGAACTAAAAACCTAAACTTAGTTTATAAATGCTGGGTAGATTAAAAATGCATCCATATTCATGCCTGATATCCTTAGTATATATATTATTATATTTTCCAGTTAATATTGTGTGTCTGTTTATTTGCACCACGCAGGTAGGCAATCAAAAACAGCTTATAATCTCAGTAAACACAACAAATAAAGAATGGATAAATGGGTGTTTGAATGAGCAGTGCGGACAAGTAACTTACCCAAAGTCCCATCATGGATCAGAAGCACAACCAGGCGTAGAGCCCAGAATATACATATTCAAGTGCTGGATACTGGAGATGGTCCCTACATAGATTTCTAAAATATTTATTTTAATGTGATGAAGTAAAATACTTCCCCAAAAATAACACCCCCTCCTCCCCACATTCTTAGTTCTAGTGCTTCATTTACCAGTGTCACACAAGCATGAGCTACACAAACATAGGGAGGGTTGGGAAAACTTCCTTCCATTTGTATTGTCAAGGCAGTTTGATTTGTTTCTTCTCCAATGAACTTCAGAGAGTCTGTTGGAAGGAAAAGTACTAGCAAATATGAATATAACCTTATGAACAAAAGAAAAATCAGAAGCTGCAAGAAATAATATTGGTCTTTCAGTCAGAGGTATTCCTTCTTCAGAGTTTGCATTGGGTAAATGCTGCAATACATTTTTAATTCTTGCATTACTGTATGATTTTCTGCTTTGGAGCAGGTGTAACACATTCATTATGACCACGGTGCCCACCGAAATAAAACAGCACAGGAGTATGCTCCAGCATATTCAAAAAACTATGCACTTTGCTGGAATCTCCAGCTCCTGCCCATAGCTCTGGGTATTTAATGTGGGAGATGTTCTGCTGGTGATGACTAGCAGAATAACCTGAAGAAAGACACCAAAATCCAGAGCAGTAGATATGCTCACATTGACATAGATATACTATATCTCTGGTAGCCACTTCTTTTTTATTCTTTTTTCACTTTTAATTTACTCTGGCTTTCAACCCTAGTACTGTATTAAGGCCCCTTGCACATACCTTTTGCAGCCCTGTAAAGAGACAAGCACTTCTCCAGGCAATGTACAACCTAAGAAAAGGATGAGCAGAGACCAAACAAGAGATGCAAGAGTGGAAGAGCTGAAGGAGACCACGGGCTGCACTACCAAGATGCCACAGCTTTGTTCAGCTCAAGCCCTCGATCTTCCATACTGCTTCTAGGCCCACGGTGGCAGGGGGTTAATGAAGTCAACTTGCAGCTCCTCCAAGGACACAAGGACTACGGAAATGAACATCTGCCCGTGGATATTTTTAACAAAACACAAAAAGGAAAACACATGGCCCTCTGGAACTCTGCTTGCTGCTTCTCCAGCTGATATGTTGCAGAGAACAGAGAGCCTAGGGCTGGAACTGAATGCAAAAGCTTTACTCCAGGAGCAAAAAGAGAACACAGCAGAAAATGCTTCAGTTTTAAAAGCAATCAGATCAATGAGCCACAAAACACGGAGCTGAGAGCATTCATCTGCAGTAGCCAGGATAAAAATAAAAACAGGCACAAAATATTTCACTTGTAGAATAGTTCCTTACCTGTGTGAAGAACATATTTGCAAACTATGAAAGACAACTTGGAAAAAATGATTAAAATCAGCCTTTTATTTCCCAGATTTTTTTTTGAGATTCTACACATAGAATAATAATGAGCAAAAATTAAAACAGCAGACTGGTTTTAGTTCATAAAACTGAAAGAGAAATCAGTAATTTTATTTCATAAAATCAGAATTTCTGTAAGCAGCACAAATAAGACTGCTGATAGCAGTCACAACATGCACCTTCAGACTCAAGTCTTGAGATGTGATGGTGACTGTTTCGCAGTCAAACTCAGTGGGCAGGTTGGGCCCCCGCTCAGAGCTGGTGAGGGCAGAGGCAATCCTGCTCACTGCAGGAAGGGAGGAGGAGGAAGAGGAGGAGGAGGAGGAAGAGGAGGAGGAGGAGGAAGAGGAGCGCCTGTGGTTTGCAGCAGCCTGCGCCCCAGGGACAGCAAGGCCAGAAGAAAACTCAAGCAGTCCTCTAGTCCACCCCTGCCAGAGGATGAGCTGTGCCTTAAACATCACCAGTGTTTCGAGTCATCTTTGTTTAACCTTTTCTTAAAATCGTGTACGAATGACTTTATAATGTTCTCAGGAAATGTACTGCAGGGCTTTCCAAAGATACCATCAGCCCTTTTTCTCCCTAGTGTCTAGAGGTAGCCAACTACTACTTGTCTTATGAATAGGGAATTTGGAGAACAGAGTTTTGGGGGGAGGGTTTTTACTCTCCTCTGCAGTAACTTTCTACAAATGTGAATACTCCTTTGGTCTTCACTCCTGCAGACTAAACAAACCAAATTCTTTCATTTTTTAACTCTCATCATTCTTGTCTCTCTCCCTTGGGCTCTTTCCAGCTAGCCCCCAGCCTTCCCACAGTGCGGTGCCTAGAACTGGATGCAGTATTCCAGCTCAGACCTAACTAGAGCTCAGTAGGCCTAATTAGAGCAAAACGTTATTCCATGTGCATTTCATGAGACCTCATTATTTATTTACTCTTATATACATATATATAATTATTTTTCACAAAAACATGGCACTATTGACCCATGGTTACCCTGCCATTCACTGGAATCTCCAGGTCTTTTATTTTTTCACAGAATTACTAAAACTACAGTATTAGCCTTCATCCTCTATCTATTATTACTAATTTGCCCTCAGTGAAATGAATTCTACTTACTACACAATTTCTCCAATTAATTAAAAATAATCTTGTTCTAATCTTTTCCTCTAGTGCACTTTCAACCTTTATCAGTAAGTACTGTTTGTAAGTGAGGCATCTATTGCATAATCCAGGATAATTTACAGTGCACACCGAATAGCGTCAAACAGATCCAGGTAGAGCCCTGCATGTTGCTTTCTTCTGGTGACAATGACACCAACTATCAACTCTAACAGCACGAGTCCCTGTGGTAGCTCCACTTAGACTATGCTCATCTACTTGGGCTACGATGATGTCCAAAAGCGGCCTTTATCAAAAGCCTCTTACCAAAATCAAGATGTGCCACCTTTGCAACAGAACACAATGCCAATTATTCTTTCATGGAAGGAATGATTCCATGGGATTTATTTGGTATCATATTTCTTCTTTTCCTCAAAATTTTGCAAGAAAAAAGGAGAACTCAGGGAATGAAAAATGGGCATACAAAATATTTTTTCCTCTGAAGAACTGCGAAAAAATTAAAATGCTTATTGCAGTTTGTGGAGATCTTCAGAAGAATGAAAGACTTGAAGATGAGACTGAAATTCAGAACCACTATGCTGAACTTTCAGATTTTGGCCGGAAATATCCTATGGTAATACTAGCCATTCTAAAAGCATGTTTAAAAAAAAGGTTTCGAAAACTGAAAACCCTTTTTTATGAAAAACTTGAGAAATCCCTGTATTTTATGAGCAGTCATGGATTTAGGCTGAAGTCAGATATAACTCTATACATTTGTCTTATTCTGGTCTTCCGCACCTACCGCCTCGTGCGGCCAGTTGCCCAAGCTCACTGCTACGCCATGTTTCAGGCATATACATGCAGGTTCCAGCTTCTAGATCTTCATTCAGGGAACTGTAGTTTCTACCTGCCTCTAAGCTTATGTCACTGCCTCCCTTGCTCCTACATTGAAGGCCCAGTCATGAGTTCAATGCATTGCTGTTTTAAGAGTCCTCCTTAATTAATCTATTCTTATCTTGATTTATGCTATATAGAAGGTATATAAGAAGGTTTAAGACAGGACAGTCAAGGTTAAAGATAAATCAAGATGCTGGAGAAAGTCCTCAGAAGACACAATAACACCACCACAATTGGCAGTATTTCAAAGTGAAATAGCCAGGATTCACAAGCTTTATGGAGGTCTCAGTAAAAAAATCCATTAAAAATCACAAATATAATAGACTTGTCCAAAACTCTTAATATCATTGGTCTTATTTTTAATATTTCACTTATTGAGGTTACAAATAATGTAAAATATAACTTCGGTATTTAATTTATAAAGCTTTTACATTTCCATGTAAAACAAACAGTAGATTTAAAGTAAAAAGATCTTAGTAGAGGCAACAGCTTCTTCTTTAACTTCAACAAGATTCTAATTTTTTAAGAGTAAATGCGTAAACAAAACATCCATGATTTCCCTTTGCACACATCTGTGCTGATCAGTTGACACAAATATAATTTACTATAGAAATAAAAAGTATATATTTTTTGTTTTTGCTACACACAGTTCTATGCTGGCATTGCATTTTAGCTGGTTAATCTTTTAAACAGTAAGATCTATGCATTTTTCACTCTAATCCCCAATATGTCCATTGCCAGCAGTGGACTTTATGTTCAGAGAATCAAATTCACAGTGTCAACAATGTAAAATTACACTTAAATACAAGAATTATAAATATTCAGAGAAATTAATACAATTATTTTCATATCACAAATTCCAGGTACTTAAAGGCCATGATCCAAATCCACTGAAATCGATGACAGCTTCCCCACCTGCTTAGCTGGAATTTACCTGCAGTCCCGAGCGACTGCAGATTTTCATCATGATCCCATAATTTCATCATAGCAAGAAGATTTAAAAGTGCACAGGGTCACAGCTTCAGCGTGAGAAGTAAAGCCTCCAAGTCTTTCTGGGTCTCTTTATCCTGAAAGAGACAGGCCATCATACATAAACTTCGGATAAATCCCTTGATTTGCCTACTGCTACGTGCCTATCTGCATTTCTTCACCAACTACAGACATAACGTACAACTGTAATAGCCACACAGTGTACAAGACTGCATAGTAAGTTAATTTATCAGCAATCGCAAAAAATAAAGTATGAAGTGAAAACAGGAGCCAGATGGCAGCCCCCCTTATACAGCTCTGTTAAAGCACTTAAATTGTTAGCCACAAATAGCCTTCTCAGCAGAGCAGCAAGCTTTCAGCTCAGGCCGTAACTTTTATTCGTGTACTCTCCGTACAGTTTTGCCATGTCTTATATTTTACGTAAGCTCACAACCCACTTTTCCTATGGATGTTTCTGCGCCGTTTCCTAATCATTTATTATCTAATTATCAAGGAAATATTGGGAAATGTAATTAAAGGCACAGATGAGATTATGTTTTCAGTGTGTATGGCCAGACCTACCTATAAAATCCCACTCTCCCATGGTGCAGCACGTGGGCTCTGCCTACGCTACAGGGCTCGCAGCAGAGCGGAGCTGGGGTGGGAGCAAGAGGTGGGAAATCTGCTGTGGTCAGAGCTGACACTGAACCCTATCGCCTAGGGGAGAAGGGGGAGGCTCCTTCGAGGCTGCGGCGTAAATGCAGTTTGCGCAGAGCTATTCCCCGAAACAAAACCTGACCCACACAACTCTTCCAACAGCCTCCAGTGACATATGTCTTGGCTACTCCATATAAACCATTTGGGTACGTGTGTATGAGCATGTAACAGCAGTACAAAAAAAAAAAAAAAAAAAAGGAACTACTTTTGTACTTATTTTTGTAATGTCTCCTGGATATAATCCACTTGCTGCTGCAAAATTTCTAGCTTGCAAAATAGACCGTGGCTTAAACCAACATTTCTAAGAAGTTAGCACTTCATACCTGCAAACTGGTAAGGGTCCAAGCAACCAGCACTTGCACCCGCACGTATTTAACAGTACATGGGCATATGTGCATCACAAATTTTGTGCAAGTATTTTTTTGTTCTGATAACAAGCATTTCTGAAAGAAAATACTACAGACAGACAGCGAAGCAACCACTGAATTTCAGGATCACTTCATTATCCAATCAACCAAAGAGCTGGAACAAAATACAGGATATTTTAAAATATATTTCACGGGTGAAGAAATTCCTGCTTCTCTTTATTTTGGTTACTTGTCTATAATGTCATGGAGGAACAGAGCAGAATATTGAGATGAGAGAAACCATATGCCAGATACGTCAAACTATATTATATTATTGCTCTGCATTAAGGCATTAATACATTAGCTGGACACTTCTCTCAGAGCCAGTGCCTTGCTCCCACTGGCAAGAATATGCTAAACTATCTGCCTAATCATTTATCAGAGGCCTCTAAAAGGCACACACTGTAAAGCTAGAAAGCACTTGCCAAAACTCGCTCGCAGAAGGAAATGTCGCACTGAATTCTGCACCCCTTAAATTCCATGTCACTGTGGGCTGCTTGGGGCTGCAGTCCATGCCTTTCAATAAAAACTGGAAAACCCACAAAATTTGCATCAGTACGTCAATTAATTCAGGGAAGACATTTTTCCCCCCGTACCAATTGCTGCCCATGAAAACAATTTCTAAATTCCATTAAACATAAAAGTAACAAGCGAGATACTGTCCCGTGCTTTAAAAAAAAATGAAAAAGGCTTTCTCTGCTTCTATCTGGCCCTAGTCTTTTCACACATTTCTGAGCCAAAAATAATAAAGATATAGGTTTTGTCATATATTAAGGAATTGAGGTCCGTATTTTATGGGTTCACAAAATTCTTCATTCACTTTGCACAATATAACTTTTTAAAAACGGATCTCCAAATAGTTCTGCATAATTATCTTTTTCCTTAGAAGCAAACTATTATGTCGGGCAATGAGTTTTAGGGAGTTGCAAAGTCCCAAATCTATTGGGCAATTTCCTGAATCATCCTCTGGGCTTAAGAAAATGAAGGAAATAAAAACAGGACTGTTCTAAGACCTAGTTAAAGGAGAAGCTGCAAAGAGCATGTAGAGTTCTCCACCTCTGAATTGCCAGTATTACGAAAGACTATACCAGAAAAGGCAGGAATTACTGTTGTGAATTGCTGTGGATTTAATGTGCTGTGCTAACTGAGCTAGCAGCTTCCATTCAAAAGTAGAAACACAGCTGGGAATCCAAAAAAAAAAAAAAAAAAAAGTGTAAAAATTAAAAGAAAGGCTGAGAATGGGCTGGGAAGGAAACTATTGTCTCCTGCAAGTAGGGCCCTTCCTGAGAATTGTGTCACACTAAAAGAAGAGAGAAGCCCCAAAATTGTTAAATGCCATTCTCCAGTCCCACCATTACTGCCCAAATCTTGACTGTTGGGGGAACACAAAGTCAAGCAAAGTCAAGTCCTGTTTCTTCCTCATTTTGTTCCCGGTCTCTGGCTTTCTAGAAACAAACACTAAAGGTTTTTTGTTGTTTTGATTTTTTTTTAAACAATTTTGATGCCTCTGCATTGTGGGGCAGGGGAGAGGGCAGCGTGTGAGTCAGATGGAGAATTCACTGCGTGCACCCCGTTCCCCGTTGTTCAGCCTGAGGCTGAGCTTAGCTCTCATTGAACACCCCGTCATTTTCAACCCTGGCTTTCTGCTGTCAGGGCTTACGCTTCTCAAACACTTCTCACATCATTTTCTGAGGTGAATATGGGTTCAAAACGTTCTGCAAACCATCACACAAAGGGCATTCAGAATTGCAGGGTCAGTGACTACGTTTCTGCCTCTTATTTACTTTTTAATTTCATCATTCACAGGGGATATGCACAGGAAAGAAAGACCAGGGAGCTGGGGACTGAGCAAGGGAAGAGAGGGAATTGAGAACAAGAGCAAGACGGAGGAAAGAGTTGGTGGGAAGAAGGGAATGTTGGCTTAACTGCATGCAGCCCATATTTTTACAGTTAATTTCTGCTAATAGGTTTCATTTATACATACATAAGCACACATATAGTCACATAAACATGCATGTAAAAATTATATGGCAATTAGGACCGAGGCAAAAAGATAATGATTTTACCTTCCATCTCAGTTAATTGCTTCCTTATGCATTAAGCACACTGGGCCCAGGCACCGCATGTGCGTGCACTTGTTGACAAAGTCCCGACTGTCAACAGAGAACTGATACACCCCCACGACCACAGCCAAAACGGTTACAGCCGCCTGAGGGGCGGCCTGGCTTTGGGGCAGGCCCGGCTTTGGGGCAGGCCCGGCTCTGGGGCAGGCCCCGCTTTGGGCACGGCTGCATCGCTCCCTCACCTCCCCACGAGGAAGCCTGGACCAGAGCAGAGGCACCCGCACGAGTACGAGGGGTAACGGCCTTTTCTGGCAATATAAATCACTAGGGAACGTGGTGCGCTCTCCCTCCTCCTCGACTTCGCCATAACTTCTCACACGTGGTGTGGATGCAGTACGTGTTATATTATACTTAGTTGCCTACTGCTGTTTTTCCCCCTTGGATATTTCAATAAAACATCGCAATCATCCACTTGCAACTTTCTGTGTAACTGCTGCATGTGACAAGTCAGGGCTTTTTATATTGCTTCCTATTTTCGGCATCTTCCTCCATGAATGAAAGATGACTTCTCTGAGCTTTTAACATCAAGGCAAACAGGGCTTTAAAATATGGAACGGACAATAATTCAACATACTGTGATTACACTTCAAACAATGGCAAAGATACCTTTTCCTATCAGAATGACTACGAATTGCTAGTTCAGTTAGCTTTAGGATTGCTGCTGCAAAGTTACAAAATAACTGAATTCAATTTTTAATGATTAACAGTTGGGCAGAATTTTTACACGCCAGCAGATGCTCTCCTAACCCGAAGCTCAGAGCCTCCCGCACAGCCTCTTCCTGTTCTCAGCGCACACACAGGAGCTGTTGGTGCTGGAGGATCCC